CTGCTGCTGCTGTTGACACGCTTGATGCGCAGACGCAGGTAAACCCGGAAGATCTGCTGCAGGAAGAGGAAACACAGCAGCAGCAGCAGCAGCAGCAGCAGGTTGCGAACCTTGACTCTTCAGCTGCAGCAGCTGCAGCAGCTGCAGCAGCTGCAACAACTGCAGCAGCTGCGGGAAGCAAAAGTGAGGCGCTAGCTGTTGGCTCTCACCGAGCAGATGACAGCAGCAGCAGCAGCAGCAGCAGCAGCGGCAACCGCAGCAGCAGCAGCAGCAGCAACAGCAGCTTCGCGAGGCTTCGGGGTCGTCGCAGCGTTTCATGGGTGCAGCAAAATGCTCTCCCCACGCGGAGGAGGCGTTCCCTGTCAGCAGCAGCAGCAGCAGCAGCAGTTGCTGCTGCTGCTGCTGATGGAGACCGATGCTCCTGCCGCTGCTGCAAGCGGCGCCAAAGGCTGCAGCGTTCTCTGCTGCATGCTGCTGGTGATGCTGCTGCTGCTGCTGCAGTGCAGCGGCATTCGAGTCGCACGAGAGCCCAGAAGCCTAGACATCATAGCAGCAACAGCAGAAAGAGCAGCAGCAGCAGCAGCAGCAGCAGCAGCAGCGACCGGATATATTTGAGGAGAGGTTCAGCAGATCGTGCAAGGCGGCGGCGCAAAGTTATGCTGCAGCAACAGCAGCAGCAACAGCAGCAGCAGCAGCAGCAAGCGCTGGATAGCGACTCTTCGTGGACAACGAGCTCTACACCGAGCCGCTACGTGCGCAGGCTGCTGCAGCAGCAGCAACAGCAGCAGCAGCAGCAGCAACAGGAGAGGCGGCGGTGGCAATCTTCGAGGCAGCAGCAGCAGCAGCAGCAGCAGCAACACAGACATGAGGTGGCTGTACACCCCGTCGAGGAGTTCGTTGACCTGCTGAAGGAAGTCGATGGCATCGCAGACCCTGCAGCACCGCCCCCGCGTTTCTACCGCCAGCAGCAGCTGCAGCAGCAGCAGCAGCAGCAGCACGAAGCAGCAGCTGCTGCTGCAGCCTTTACAGCGTTCACGCAACGAAGCAGCCACCAGTATCTGCAGCAGGGACAGAGGAGCAGAGCAGCAAAACACGGCCACACT